AAACTATTACTCAGGTGATATCTCGAGGGGCTGACGTGCTATATTCATGGGAAGCAGGCCAAGGTTCAAAAGGTGATAGAAAGGAAAGTAAACAAAATGTTATCAAGTGGAGCAGGCCACAAATTGGTTTTGTTAAGTGCAATATTGATGGTGCAATTTTTTCAAGTGATAAACGAGTGAGATTTGGCTGCTTCGTTAGGGACCATATGGGAAGATTTTCAAGGGCCAGAACTTCATGGATGAGAGCGGGAATGAGCCCAACTGAGGCAGAAGCTTGGAGCTTGAGGGAAGCTCTTAAATGGATGCAGGAGACTGAGTATACAAGAGTTATTTTCGAGACTGATTGCAAGCAGTTGGTGGATGATATTTACCACGCACACAGGGATCGGTCTGAATATGGATCTCTAGTACAAGATTGTAGGGATCTTGTTGGGTCTAATAACGACTTCTGTGTCGTTTTTGCTAGGCGACAAGCTAATAGTAGTGCTCATGTTCTTGCTACAGCATCTACTAGTCATGCTTCTTGCACAATTTTTTTATTTGTTCCTTACTGTATTGAGAACATTGTGATTGATGAAATGAATTAAACTTTTTGTGTAAAAAAAACAGCCTTCTTAAAACTATCAATGTCACTAGTGTTATTATATCAATCGTGTGTCTCTACAAGTAAGGGATAGAGGGGTATATATAGGGAGATACATGGGCCTAGTCATGGGCTTGGGCTAAGAGGGAGTAGTGTATATTTATACATTACATAACACTCCCCCTTAAATATACACTACTAAAAAAATACGTTTAAGGATGCTGCCTCATTAAAAACCTTGCCAAGGAAAACCCTGTGGGACAAAACCCTGGTAAGGAAAAAAGAGTGCAGCGCGTATTTACTCCCCCTAATGAATATATTACTCAAGATCCTTGTGTCGACGTAATCCAATCAGGTGCACTAACTTCTTGAAAGTTGTTGTTGGAAGAGCCTTGGTGAATAAATCCGCAACGTTGTCACTCGAACGAATTTGTTGAACGATAATCTCACCTTCTTTCTGAATGTCATGTGTATACCAAAATTTTGGTGAAATATGTTTCGTCCTATCTCCCTTGATGAATCCTTCCTTAAGTTGGTGGATACAAGCTGCATTGTCTTCAAACAAGATGGTCGGAGGCTTCTTTTCAGACCATAATCCACATGACTGTCTAATATGCCGAATTACACTTCTTAAGTATACGCATTCTCGACTGGCTTCATGAATGGCTAATAGTTCTGCATGATTAGATGATGTTGCCGCAATTGTTTGCTTCATGGAACGCCATGAGACTGTTGTTCCTCCACATGTAAACACATATCCAGTCTGTGATCTTCCTTTATGAGGATCAGACAAATAACCTGCATCTGCAAAACCAATCAATTCTGTTTTGGACATGTTAGAAAATAATAGACCCATGTCTTTCGTACCTTGAAGGTAACGAAGTATTTGTTTGACCCCATTCCAATGTCTGCGCGTTGGAGAAGAACTATATCTTGCCAATAAATTTACAGCAAAGGATATATCGGGTCTTGTGTGACTTGCAAGATACATTAGTGCTCCAATTGCACTTAGGTATGGTACTTCTGGACCAAGAATATCCTCATCATCTCCGCGCGGTCTAAATGGGTCCTTATCAACTTCAAGTTATCTTACAACCATCGGGGTGCTCAAAGGATGTGCCTTATCCATTAAAAATCTTTTTAGCACCTTCTCTATATAGGTTGTTTGATGCACAAGGATACCATTATCTAAATGATCAATTTGTAATCCCAGGCAGTATTTGGTTTTCCCAAGATCCTTCATTTCAAATTCCCTTTTCAAACATTCAACTGCCTTTTGTAGTTGTTCAGGAGTTCCAATAATGTTTAGATCATCAACATAAACTGCAATAATGACAAACTCCTCACCAGATCTCTTAATAAAAATACATGGGCATATATCATCATTTTTGTACCCTTCTTTTAATAAGTACTCACTTAGACGATTGTACCACATACGTCCTGATTGTTTTAAACCATATAGAGATCTGTTTAGTTTAATAGAATATTGTTCTCGAGAACCTCTATTGCATGCTTCAGGCAGCTTAAAACCTTCCGGAAGTTTCATATATATATCAGTATCAAGCGAGCCATATAAATAGGCTGTCACTACATCCATGAGGCGTAAATCTAGTCCTTCACGTATTGCCAGACTAATTAGGTATCTAAAAGTAGTAGCATCCACCACAGGAGAATATGTCTTATCATAATCAATGTGGGGTCTTTGTGAAATTCCTTGTGCAACTAAACGGGCTTTATATCTGATAATTTCACCCTTTTCATTTCTTTTACGCACAAAGACCCATTTATAACCCACTGGTTTAACATCTTCAGGTGTTTTAACCACGGGTCCAAAGACTTCTCGCTTTTCTAGTGATTGTAATTCAGCCTCAATTGCATCTTTCCATTTTGGCCAATCATCTCTGCGTCTACATTCTTGCATTGTTCTTGGTTCTTGATCCTCATTTATATTTAAGGGGGAGTGTTATGTAATGTATAAATATACACTACTCCCTCTTAGCCCAAGCCCATGACTAGGCCCATGTATCTCCCTATATATACCCCTCTTGTCTGTGCTGTTGGGACAGAACACTGTTTGATGGATGAAAAGTGGAGTATGTTTTCTCAAGCATTTCATCATCAGTTATTTTTTCTCCACACAGCCTTAGCTGAGAAGTAATTCTATACATTGCTGAATTATAATCAACTACAGACTTAAAGTCTTGCAACCTTAAATGAGTCCATTCATAACGGGCCGCGGGGAGTATGGTTGTTTTCTGATGGTCATACCTTTGTTTAAGGTTTTCCCATAGTTCTAGGGGGTCTCTCTCAGTTAAATACTCCGACTTTAGGTCTTCATGAAGGTGGTGTCTCAGAAAAATCATGGCTTTGGCTTTGTTTTCTTTTGATGCGGTATTCCCAATTTTTATGGTATCACCTAAGCTCTTGGCATCTAGGTGAATTTCAGCATCTAGTACCCATGACAAATAGTTTTTTCCGCTGATGTCCAGTGCGGCGAATTCAAGTTTCGTAAGATTTGACATAGTGATAACTATAAAGAAAAATAATATTACTTTATTTTCACATAATGTATTATGGAATCATTCAACTCATCACACAATATTATGTATGGATACAATTCTAAAAAGTTTGAATTTTGAATTCTTTATTCATATGATATTTTATCCAAATTCAATAATGTCATTAAATTGGTGAGTAAATGTCTTACTATAACGAATATTGACTAATTAATGTCATTTAAGTCTTTATTTAAATAAGAAAAACAGTTTCTTTAAGTCTTTGCCTAAAAGTAACAGCCGATTAAATTATAGGAAGTACCATAGTTAATCAACTAGCTCAAAAGGAATGGCAACATGAAAGCTAGAAGTAATGTAATTAAACATGCTCAAAAAATAGTGAAAGCTGCGACAGCCTGGCGCCAATTTTTTTTTTTTTTTTTTTTTGTGTGAACAATACATTTTCTACAGAGAGCTAGTCCTCAAATCCACATCTTAAGACTGGAAACGACAGAAAACTGAATATAGTAGAATAAGTTGTAAAAGCAAATTGTGATAGAACATATGTCAAATACTAGGCCCTAGAAATGGCCACTTGTGAATTGAAACTCAAACAGGAACATTATAACACACTAAACTATTTGGGAATGGATTTATGCTTCACAGTATATCTATGGTACGGACCACACAATAGAAGGATAGGATTCATTGTTTGTTAAAAACTAGTATTGCACCTTCGAGATAATATGTCTTATGCAAAAGGATATATGCATTATTCCACTGTCCTTGTCTTATACATGCTTTCATTTTCAGGCAGCCCTCAATAGGTTGTAAATTGCAGTATAATAACATTCCAATAATGTTTAGATATATCATACGTTTAATTTATTCAACTTTATGCATATCAGTGTAAACAAAACCCAGAATGCCTAAAAACAGAGAAACCTTTTAGACTACCACAAAATTATTAGGCCGAAAACTTGGACTGAGTGATCTCATAATTTTTTATCAGCTCCCATAGTTAATCATTTACTAATATGTATACAGTTTGAAACTATGAAAGCAGTTTTTATAAGTAAATCAAGAAATATCCTTCTCTGATTTTAAGCCATTCATCCCAAAAGTAATTCATTCATTATTTGTCATAATAAACACCATCAATAAACATAGTGAAAAACAGGCAAATAAAGCAGTAGCAGAGAAGATACTAGCCACACACAGTTGAATCAAACAGGGAAGAAAATATGGGTAACTAATTATTCCATCAATAGTCAGGTATATCAAATCAATTTGTGAGATTACTCATAAGCAATTTGTAAGGAAAAAGATTCAAGCAAGAGATTATAGTATATATGTTGGTGATGAAATTATGAAGAAATACCTGGACTGATGCGACTTAATAGGAGGAGGGGAGATCTGGAGCTTTTCCGCTAGAGCAGCCTTCAGGGACCAAATCTTCGTTGAGGACGTGTGACACAGAGACGGAGAAGACAGAGAGATATTTGAGGAGGCTGGACGAAGAATAACCGATCGATGGGCCCTGGGAATTGATCGACGGAAATCGATCAAGAAGAAGAGTGCCCTGAATTGTTGTTGTGCGATCCTCTTTTTGTGGGAGCCGGCGAGCGTTTTAGAAGGGGGAACGAATAGTTTAATGAGGCGGACGGTTTTTGAGAGTCGTGCTGATAACGTGTTATTATATCAATCGTGTGTCTCTACAAGTAGGGGATAGAGGGGTATATATAGGGAGATACATGGGCCTAGTCATGGGCTTGGGCTAAGAGGGAGTAGTGTATATTTATACATTACATAACAACTAGAGCCCTTTTTTAAATTATAATTTTTTTTTACCAATTTGGTCATTCAGCCACTTGTTTTCCTCATCAACTAATTTAGCATTTTAGCAAGCGATGTGAAGTGAACAAAGTCTAAAATTGCCAATTTCATCACAGCCACGAAGGGCCATTTTAATGGAGTGCAATGAAACAAAACGAAATGGAAATGAAAACTCACAAAATAAAAAACAACAGAAAATGCAATAAATAGTTGCTCTAGATTCATACATTCTACAACTGGGTCGGAAATCAAACAAGAGAATACACTACTACGGTTTACCTAAATCCAAGCCGTGGCATCATCGTTCATGTGTTTGTCAAGCCCTGCGAGTCTTTGGACTTGTTTTGAAGCATAAAGGAGCCTAATATCTTGGAAAATGAATCATCTGAGATTGTGTTTGTCAAGCCCTGCGGTTTACTTGCAGAGGTTTTCAAAACCCATGTATTCGTGATGATGAATCTTGCTAATCATGTTCAAGATTCCAACCCCACCTGTTTAACAAAATTTACTTGGAAGTTGCAGATTGTGATGGACGCGTAAACGTAGGAAATGTGGGAAATGGGATACAGGGAAATGCCAGTTTCATATGAAAAGTGTTTCCAAAATGCTCTCTCACGAGATCCCATGTATCACAAGTTGCAGATAACTCCCTCCATGCCACAGAAAAGAGTCTTGTTTGGTGAAAGTACAACTCTTAAATTTTGGCAAAGTACAACTTCTAAAAGTAATCTTTTTTAAAAGTGGGAAAGCGTCAGGGAACACTTTCCAATTTATTACACTCCCTCCGGTCCGTATTAAAGTTCTCACTTTCCTTTTTGGGATGTCCCTTATTTAAGTTCACACTTCCATTGTAGGAAACAAAACAGTGCAAAACAGTGTCAAACAGTGTCCAAACAGTGTCACACTTCTTAATCTGTGTGAAGTCAAACTGAGAACTTTAATAGGGACCGGAGGGAGTAGATAGGATTGCAAGTACAACTTTTAAAAGTAATCTAATCACATAAAAAGCTACTTCAGTCGATGAACTATGTCTCTTTTTTGGCACTCAAGAAAAACTTTTAAACAGACTCTTCATATGGGACATTAAATACTTCACATGTCCCAAATTGTAAGATACTTGTGATTTAAAGAAAAATTCAATAAAAACAAGTACTACGTACAAAATAAAATGTAGTTTACTTTCCAAAAGTATCCATTAATTATAAATCAGACATTATTTCCGACAGACTAAAAAGAAAAGCTAGACAAACATAACTGGAGTAAATATGGATGAAAAGAAAACGGGAAAAAGAACAGTGGTTACTAATCTTTCTTTGGTGCAAAGATGGATGGTTGCTCACCTAGCGTGATTGCACTCACAAAAATCGTGGAGGCCAGTATAAAGATAATCAAAGATGCTCTTCCTAACAGTGCAATCAACCTCCTCACTACGTGTTGCCCAATAAAAGCAGCCAGAAACGCCACCACAGATAGGTAGAGAGCTGCAATACAGAAGGCAACAAAAGCTTGATCATTCACAAACAGATATATGTGGTTTTGGATATAAAAGGTGTTCCTTGTTTTTAGCCTATTTGGGGATGGGAAAAATTGTGTACCATAAGGAACAGGGAAACGCTTGAGAAGGTAGTATTCTACGACAGACATCGATGAGGAGAACAGCATGGCAAAGGTAGCTGTGGCACTTGAAACCTATAAAGATATCGGTAACAACCGAGACATCACAAGTAAATCTAGCTCTTCACGCAGTTGAGTTCTCGTATAAGAAAAACATATGAAAAGGTTTAAAAGTAAATACTATGTATGAAAAATAGAAACACATAAACAAACAAATATGATGTGCCATTTCTTTCATTACAGCACAATGGGATACCCCATAAACTGACCTGCGGAGGGACACCAAGCTCCAAAAATAGTGGACCCATAATAAACCCTCCACCGAGACCAAGCAATCCTCCAACAACACCAGCTACCATCCCAAAGAAACAGTAAATAATCAGCTGTCCTGCTCGCAAGTTGGATGAGCCTGAATCACCAGTGGATGAAATCTTTCTCCACCCTTTGTATAGCCCAATAGCTTCAAACAAAGATACACCTACAGAAACTGGAATCTGCATATTGCAAGGGTTATTTATATTATGCAAAAAATGCCCCCTCTATACTTTAATGTCATTTTAGAAACTTAATACTATGTACTCCCTCCGTCCCATATTGATTTGCAAAGTCAACATTTTTTTGTCAACCAATGTTAAATTAAATCCTCTCTATTGATAATTAATTCAATTTTTAGTAATTAAACTTTACAGATTTAGAAACTACATTAAAATCTCTTCAGAATTGCAAAATCCAAATTAGAATATAATTTAATATTGACATCCTAATTAAGTGAATAAAATGAAATTGTTTGACAAACAAAATTCAATTTTGCATATCACTTTGGGATGGAGGTAATACATGTTTTTCCATTACTGAAGGGCAGTCTAGTCATAATGTACTATTTTATCTTGAATCTTGAAACCTTAATTGTTTCCTTAATATGTGTTTGGAGGTCTAAAGACTCAAGTGACACTTAGTTTAGAATGGGGGGAATTTTATTAGGACGATATGAGTTAAGACGGTTGAAAAACACATATTATCCCTGAATGTTAAGCATGGCGCAAACCAAAATCGAATAAGTTGGCAAATTGGCACAAACAAACCTGCAAAAGATTGACCACCCAGTATAGAACTGAACAAGTGGCTGCATAATTCTGTTACCAAAATAGAAAAGGGATGAGTCAGAGGATTAGCGATTATCATTTATCAATATCAAATGAAAGAACTAAAGATATTGACCTTGCTAATTTGAAGTGCGAGAAAAGCAACCCACACAAAGCAGAGAAGTCCAAATTCCTTCCAATAAACGTTCTCAATAATAGTAACCTAAATAAAAAAAAAGTTATGTTTGCATCTACTAATTTGGGACTTTAAGAAATCTCATCAGGAGATTTTCTTTTCAATTTAATTCACCTCTTTTTGAGAAAATTCCGTGGTTGTGCCTTGAGTGGCATTGCTAGGGCCACCAGGAAGAACCTTGTATTCTACTTGTCCACCATATCCTGACAAATTGTAACATGTAAGTTTATAAACTTGGAGAGAAATGTTATACTCTTATTAATTCTATTTGTGTATATACATTATAATTTTGGAGAGGAAAACCAAAACGGAAAAGGACAAACAAAGCAAGATCCTGTAACGTATTTCTTAGTGAAGAAAGATAGCATACTCACCATCTGATGGCAACAGTTGGGCAGCCTCCTAAACCCAAAAATGAAAAACAAAAAAAAATTAGAATAGAAACAGGGAAGTAAACAATCAAACAAACAATAAAGAAAAATGAAGCAAGACTACAAATGCTATGGGGTAAGAAATCCAGGTTGTTAAACTCTATGTATACTTTACAATTTACATTATGTCACCCTTAACGGGGTTTAATGCACCAACCCCCCTCGTGTTATAAAAATTTTGCACATTAACCCCCGTGATTTAAAAAATGTGTAACTCCACGGTGTTATGATTAATGATTTATCATGCACAAAACCCTTTCCAAGAACAAAGTTAACAATTTGGAAATTACCTATCAAAATATTATGATTGAATATGCAAGTAAATTTGTCAGGATCTCCAAATTATGAATAAATACCAACTATTTTTATTTTTTCGGCAATTAAATTTGTTTTTGAATAGGATTTTGCACATGATTAATTATAACACAGAGGTTCGAAGTATTTCATAAACACAAGGGGCTAATACGTAGAATTTATATATCACAAGGTGTTTTGGTGCATTAAATCCCCCTTAAGGTGCCAACAAGTATCTTAAGACACTACATAAGGTGGTTATAAGAGGATTGAAAATCTAATGAAGAACACGAACACCCAAAATGAGGTAAAGAAAGAAAAAAGGAGGAGCTCGTGACAAACCTTTTTCGTCATCGTCTCTTTCTTCCATGTTTCAACACCCCTCAAAAAGGCTTTGGTTGATGTGCCTAAAAATCATGTAGAGTGAGAATCCTAGTTGGAGCAGAGTGTATTCAATGAAAACACTTACCTATGAAGAGAATTATTAGCAGAACAGTGACCATCCAATCTGCAAATATCACATTGAATGCAACTCCAATACTAATTCCAAGCATTAACATAGGCTGAATGAGAACTGCCAAGTCATAATCAATAATCGGCATATCAATTGTGGGATGCCTTAGCTTAAGGTTATAGTACACAGTGGAAACTGCAGCTCCCATGATCATACCTACCAAATCAGAACATCATATATCAGAAAAAAATACAACAGACACTTACTAGGTTGAATCTTGCTTCTTATATTGCTATTATCAAGATGAACATATCAATTAGTTTAGACTTTTGGCACCTTGGATTGGGTATATGATTTTCCAAAGAAATCACTTGGACTACTACCCAACAATAAAACTGTCCAGTTCAGACATAGATGGTCAGATGGATATGCAGCCAATACAAATAAAATGAGAGCTTATATTATTCAAGAACACAAAATTTTTAAGATTGCAATAAATTTTCATGACACTGAAACTGCTTCTATACAGATTTTTATTTTTTATTGGAAAACACAACTTGTCCTTTCTGAGCTTGCCTGGAGGGGAGGTAAACCAACTTAATAACCACCATAAATATTGGCATATGAATATCTGCTTGAAAAAAAATCTAAATAGTAGTGTAACAAAATAATCCATCTTACACTTAGATATTGCAGTCGCTGATTTTGGATCAAATCCTATAATAAGAGTAAGCATGGGTACAAATATCCCACCACCTCCAACACCACCTACACTGCCAAAAGCAGCTCCCAAGAATCCAATTATGCTACCGACAACAATTTTCCATCCAAATTTCATTTCCTATAATAAGATTAAGACGTATGATGGAATAAGAATCTTTTCATTTGAAACACAAGTCAAGAGTAAAAAAAATTAATAATTTCAGATACCAATATCAAATGTGGTTAAGAACCACATAATATGACTGGCTAACCTAATGAGAACACGATGAATAAAAAGTGAGTTCAGGTCACAGCCCATACGTTATAAATGCCCAAACTCTGTTTGGTGCACATCAGAATCATTATTGATGCTCAACTAGCTAGTGAGCTACTTCTTCTATAGTACTATAGTCGAGACCATGCATACTGCAAAGCAGGTTCACCTGTTTATGCCCAAAAAGTCGCATGCTTTTTTCTTCAAACAAATGCATACCGCATACGTGTGAGTATTCAGCTGCATTAATATTCTACTTCGTACTATGCAATTATGAAAGCTGATTCCAGTGCCAATTCCGAATCTATGACTCCAAAAGCATCTATTTTAAAAAGGCAAACAAGAAACGACCAAATCCAGCCAAAACAAAAACAAAAACTAGCCGCTAAACAGGAAAATCGATCTTTGACATCGATGAATCTATACATTGAGAAGAATTACCGGCCAGACGTGCTCGTAACCGGATTCGTTTGACTGCCACAGGAAGTCGACGAAGGATGAGGGAAAACCCGCATCAGCATTGTCGGGAACGCTATTGCTCGGTACGACTTCCTTCTTCAGACTCCTCTCAGCCGAAACGAATATCGAGGCTAGGAGAAAACTCCATGCAATTGATATCATCGGCCTCAAAAGCCTCCATTTACCTCTCATCAGTCCCGTCATTCAGCTCCAGATATTTCTCGAAAACAAATTCAAAGGCGAGAGGCGGGAGTATTCTTTAGTGGAAGGATTTTGCTGGGAGAGGTAGATGGCAGCATAAATGGAGTTCAATTTCTCATAAATGCTGCAGGTTGTAGAATTGTCAATTGAGTGGCGCGCCATAGCTCTGTGGATACTTCGACAGCCAACGGGTCATCGTCTCATCATTGAAAGTGCTAACACCTTTGAGAAACGGAAAATCAAATTTGAAAAAGTACTGTTACACCGGTAAAGTCACTCAAATGCAAATTCTTGGTGTACAGCACACCTGAGTCAATCTTATTTCCTGCTCCCTTCGTCCCTTAAAACTTTGTCAATGGATAGAAAAGAAAAAACAATTGAACTTAAAATATTTTCTGGCGAGATATATTTTATTGGGGGCACCGATAAAATATCCCAATATAAACATGTTTTGATAGCACCTGTAACGGGAAAGCCAAATTACAATAAAACAAAAAAGATTAAAAATTTGATTTATGCCCAACGGATAGCACCTCTTTCCTTTTAAGGACGTCCCAAAAAACTTTACCACTTTCCCTTTTAATCAATTATTTTGTGTTTTCTGTTATTTCTCTCTCCTCTGCACAAACCTCAATCACACAGTTTTTACTTTATTATTCTCCGTGCTGATCAACTTTGGCAAAGTTTTAAGGGACGGAAGTAGTACGTATTTGTCATTCGGATAGACAAAAAACGTATAAATACAGACAATTTCTATAAAATGTGAATAAAATTAGTCTTCATATCTACTAGGTTGGTTGCACGGAACCCAATGTCGGTGTACACAGACATTAGTTGTCTGTGTAGACAAAAAAGTGACAGTGTGAAAAAATTGGTTTGTAAATGTCGATGTACACATACACTAGTTGTCTGTGTAGAAACAAAAGTGTCTGTACATATGCAATTTTCGTCTATGTACACAGACACTTAGAGCAAACCAGTGTCGATGTGCATAAATGTTTCTAAACTTAGCTAATAAAACGTAAAAGGAAAAGAAAAAGAGAGAAGGGAAAATAAGAACATGATGAAGAATAAGAAGAAAGAAATAAGAAGATGATGAAGGTGAATAAAACGTAAAAAGAAAGAAAAAGAGAGAAGGAAAGAAAAAGAAGAAGAAAGAAGAAAAGAAGAAAGAACAAGCTGATGAAGGAGAAAGAAAGAAGAAAAAGGGGGGTTGCATGGTGCAAAAGGGAAAGAAGGGGAGAGAAGGGAGTGGGAAGGAAGAGGAGAGAAGGATGTATACCTAAACAATACTTCCTCTGTCCCCTTTTAAATGTCCTATTTTACCATATTGGGATGTCCCTATTTAATTGTTCCATACCTTATTTGGTAAAGTTTGTGTGGCTCAAAATCATTCTTACTTTATTCTTACTTTATCTAGTAATATCAACCACACAAACCTACTTTTCTTAAAATTCGTGTCACCTTCTTCCGGGACATTTAAAAGGGGACGGAGGGAGTACATGATAATGATGTGAAAATAACTTTTTATATAAAGTTTGGGGTATTTAATTTACATATACAAATTTGGGTATTCATCTCACGTCCTTTCAAAATTTAGGATATTTTTATTATTTTTCCCTTTTTTATTTGATCAGAAAAGATTACTTTTGGTTGTTGTTGGGACATGTTGAAAAGTTGAATATCTACCTCCATTGAATAAGTTGAATAAGTGAGGTCTGTGTCCAGTTGTGCGTGCAATTATTGTCACTAGTTTTACTTGCTACACCACCAAAGTACATTACGTAGAATTCTAAAATTGTCTAAACTAGGTATTTTATTGTTAATATTAACCGGTAATTTAAAAAATGTAACGACATTTTTTGTAAATTGAAATCTTTTTCACTTCATTTACTAACATGTCGTTGGTAAATTCTTAATACTTAATCCTTAGGATACTTTATACTTTATACTTATCCTTAGGATAGTTTTCTATTGAACTATTTTCAGTCTCAGAGCAGAGCAGATCATACCAGACTTAAACAGATCAGATCTGACCAGTCATTTACCAGATAAGACCAGTTCAGTTCAAACTAAACCAAACTTAAACAGATCAGACCAGACCAGCAAATTTCAATCCCAAAAAAACAACATTACACGCACCTTCTCTTCCGAGCCTATAACAACACTTACTAAGCAGTGGCGGAACTAGAGAAAAAATTAAGCAGGGGCACAATCACATAACTGGTGGCTGGTGGAGTGACGATCCGTGTGGCACCGTGGCGGTTTGACCGGCGTCTGGCGGGCCTGACTGCGAGTCAGCGACGGCGCGACACTGGTGGTCTGTGGAGCGGCGAACACTACAAAAATACCACGGGATTGACATTGATTTTGGCAGGGATTCGACAGAGATTTTGGCAGGAAAATGCCAAATTCATGCCAAAAACACTTTGTCACGAGCTATTTGGCACGAAAAATGGGTAAGTTCGTGCCAATCCCGTAATTTTTTTGTAGTGGGAAGTGTTGCTGAATTGTTGAAGCCAGGTGGGAAATGGGAAGTGCGGAACTTCCTTTTGTTTGCATATGAGATACCACACAGTGCCGAACAACTTCCTTTGGGCTGCAGTAGTTCCAGGCTTTGGGCTTCACACGGTTGGCCCTTATTTTCCCCAAGCAACATCAAAACGACGTCGTCCAGTTTAATGAAAAAAGTGGTCTTCCTTTTCCCTGCACCAGCGCTGGACGAACAACACAGCTCCAAACCCAGTTCGCCGGAAACTTCAACGGACACCCCTGGCCCCGGCGGCCCCCGAAACCCCTATATATCCTACCTCCGGCGGCCGAAGCAGGGGCACCGCCCCCCCTGGCCCCCCTGGCAGTTCCGCCCCTGTTACTAAGGGAGTGTTTGCAAGGGCTTAAAAAGCACTTTTGTGCTTAGGGACTGTTTTTAGGTGACAAAAACTAAAATGAGTGTTTTTAAATGGAACAAGGACACAAATATTAACTCTCGTATAACTTTATGTTATACAAAAAGTAATTACTTTGTTTCCCAAAAACATGACAAATCTTTTGTTTAATTGATTTTTTTCATTGTAATTTATATCACTCCTTTGTCCTGCCCCCCATTTGCCCAGCCACGGCCAAATCCATCGCCGTAAACCGCCTCCGGAAAAGCCGCCAGATTTTTAATGAATTTTTTCATTTTTTTTCAAAAATTAGCGGAAAAAATCACTGAACAAATTCCCGACTGTCAAAGTGACATATTTCACGGCGGCAAGTACATTCGTAAATGACATAAAAATCTTGTAGGGACATCTATTAGTGACATGAAAATATGATAGGGACATCCATTATTGACATAAAAATCTGAAAGTGACAATTTTTTTACAGTGACATCTCATTTTTTCAAAAATCTGACGTTAGTCACATTTTTGTCCATATGTAAAAGTGATTAGCTTTTTTAAATTGACTTAAGTTTAGTCATTTTTAAGAAAAGGCCCCCTTTTAAATACCAAATTTTACTTATTTTTAAGCTTTTAAAGTGAACGGTTAAAATCATTGAGACATGTGTTTTTATGCTTTTCACTTTTTTTATTACATCAAAAGGCACATTTTCATCAATTGTATCTAAATCTAGCCATATGATTGATAGCGATAGTTGGTTACAGATAGTTTTTGTTAGTGTTGGTCTCTTGGAGTTTGATGTAACCATCTAAATTCTAATGATATTAATATAGAATAAATGACAGAAATATTATCTCGGAAGTTTTAAAAGACGAAAAAATGGCAGGGAAATTACTATTCAAGTTTTCATTTCCAAATATATGACATGCATGTTTGACCTTTTCCACAAAAGTGACTCCTTTCAAATGAGTGGGCTAACTAAAACTCCAAATAAGGGACCAAATAAAACCCTAACACAATCTATCAGGATTGATCGACAGCTTCTCCTCTCCTCTCTCCATACGTCTGCCACCGCCACATCTTCCACACGCTGCCTCAGCTCTCATCCGGCCGCCGTCGCCGCTTCATCTCTCACCCATTCCTTGCTAATTTGTCTCTCACTCCTTGGTTGCCGCAGTTTCATCTCTCATCCATCAATCACTGTTGCTTCACCTCTCAAGCAACATCGCTGCCGCTTTTCTTCTTCTCTTTTTCTATCAGCGATTGGCTGGCGAACGATGATGTACGCGGGTAATATTGTAGAACGACATCAATCAGGAGGTTGTGGCCGTGAAAGAAACACCACTGGCCCATCGCATATCTCTTCTCTTTGCTTTTCTATTCTAGCACGACCCCTTGACGACTGATTGACGACGAATGCTCAGATTGACGAGGAGGAGCTGATCTGTGGGGGGTAGGGGGTCTGGACTTGGCAGGGAGTAGAGGATGGAGTTTGGGACTGGACTGGGGATGGAGATGGGGCAAGGGAGGGGGTCTAGGACTGGAGATGGGGTTGAGTCTGCGGCTGGGGCCGGGGCTAGGGAGGGTGTAGGGGGAGCGGGTCTTGTACTGGGATGGGGCAGGAGAGGGGGTCTGGGGGCTAGGGGTGGTGCGGTTGGTGGTGGTATGGCTGTGGTAAATGCACTAGGCGTTTGTAACTGGATGAGGCCGTAGTCACTAACGGTTGGCAGCGACATTAGTCACTGACGGTTGGCGGGGACGGTGGTCACTGACGGTTGCCGGTGACGGTAGTCCCTGAAAAGGGGTCAATGAACGGTTGTCACTGAAATTGGGCGTCGGATTTTACTGCGGCTGTCACTGAACATTGACGATGGGTTAGTCACTGAACGAACATAGTCACTGGACAAGGGCCGAAGTGACTCAAATGTGGGGATGTGTGCCGGTATACCGCCGCCGGCAGCCACACTTCCGACAGTGGCGGTGATGATAGTGGCAGAAGTGATGGCTGCGGTGGTGGTTGGGTGGCTAGGAACCATTTATTGCTTCTTAATGATACTAATAAATACTACGTGTAAAACACAAATCTAACGGGGTGGTGGTTGGGTGGTTGGGAACCATTTAAGCACGTTGATCACTTCTTTGGAAAACTTGAATCTAGTCACATTTTTGTCATTCTCATTTTATTTAGTAATATTAGTAAAATTAGGCCTTAAAACACATATACTACCTAATAAAACCTGGACGCCAACAAGTGCGCCGCAACTAGGGTAAGTCGGCGATATTTGGGGTCGGCGATTTTCCTTCGCTCGACGATCAGTGCAGGGGCTAAGGACTGACGC